GAACAGACCAGCTTTTTCAAAATTTTTGAGTAAATTTACCCTAAGAAAAGAGACAATATAAGACTTCCTTAACTCTATTCCACTGCCATCATGATCATCAGAATAAGTACAAAATGTATAAATAGATAAGCATCTACTTTTATATTAACAGAAAATACATATTATGTAGCTAATATGTGAACATAATCATCTATCTAAAGTTGTTAGGAGACGGTGTCTCATTTTACACAGCTTACAAATTAACTCAACTAAATTACCCTGACATTGTGATACAACAATGGAAACGAAGCAAATTCCTGAGCTGTCACAAAATAAATCCACTTGCAGCTCCTGGAGTCTTTCTCTGAACCAAATCCTCAACTGGGATGGATCACTTTGTTCATGCAATCATAAGGTCTGTTTTCCAGAAATGCAACTGAATTATTATTGGTTGTTTGCAGAAAGAGGAGCCCATGCACAGCTTTGCCTCCATCTCCAGTTTGTGATCTATTGGTAGGGTTATAAAGAGCATCCCACACTGAAAAATAAAAACAAGTTTTTCAGGGAACCCTGTGTACAGGGTAGTGAGGAAACAGACCATGTCAATCACTCTGACAGGGGACATGTAACTTGAAGTATTGTTGAGGGTAATTGTTTAAGGGTGAAAGAACTCTGAGTTCTGATGATTAACCACAGAGGACTCACAGCCCTGGGATATGGCAAAGGGAACACAGAAGTGACTTGTCAGTGAGAGGAAAGTGTCGCAAAGCTGGAATTCAGGACGGCAGGCAGGCAAGGCCCCGGCATCAGGAAGTGTGCCGATGCCATCCTGGGATGAGTGAACTACCCACCAGCTTGGGGAAGGCTTCAGGGTCCATTGCACAAGAGGCTGGTCTGCTGTCTGGACGAGACTAGACTGGACAAGGCAACAGAACAACACTTCTGCCTCTACCAGCCTCCGTCCAGCATCCTCTATTGGCAGAGTCTAATGTGGAGTGGCTGGAAAGGTGAAAGGTCGCTTACAGGGAGCAGCTGCAGTACAGGAAAGCAATGCAAAGGGACTTTGTTTCCAATCCAACATCTGTTCCCATTTGGAAGTAGGGAGCCAAAAATTGCACTGAAAAGAACATGTGGGTAACATATTTCTGAGCTTTATATATTCTGACCATGAGCCCTCTCTGCATTAACTGGGCTGGGGAAATTTGCATCAGCCTCCTTCCCCTGTCCTGGTCCTCATTTTATTTTCTGGCATTAAATGATCCCACTGGTTCTCAGTCTTGAATACACAATACCATCACCCAGTGAGGTTTTACCAAACACTGAGTAGTCAATGTTTGCATTTTGAAAATCTTCTCAAGTAACTCAAATATGCAGCCAGAGAGTGGCAAAAAGTAGGATTGCCATGAAAGTAATATGATGGGGTGGCAAAAAGATTGGAAGGTAAGAGAAATCTGTTCCCTGTGAAACTTCAGACCAAATGAGTGGCCTCACGGCACTGATTTCCTTCCCTGTGAAATGGAGGATGGGAGGTAAACATGCTTTATCTAAGCATTATTATTAAAAGCAAATGAGTACTAGAAGTGAACTACTTAGTACAGGGCTGGTAATTATTAAATATGCAACAGACGATATTTGCAGTGGCAGAGGTGCTTATTTTCACTTGCAAAGATAATTTCTGCCTGACTTTGAGTGCCTACCCAATGTGACACTATAAACAGTTCTTTGCCAAGCCTCCGTCCTGGCCTAAGAGGTGTGTTTTCATCACACTTTCACTAGCTTGCTTACCAATGATCTCTCTGAATTCTTCTAAGAATGAGGATAAATCACCATCCCTACCTCACCAGTAGAAGTGCCAGGCTTCAACTTCCAGCCATCACCAGTAACAAAAGGATTGTGAGAGATATGAATGAAAGGACCTAGAATAACGTAAATGCACATTAAATGATGGGGTTTTTTAGGTGTAACTTAAAGGAAAAAATATCTTATTTCTGGGAGGTTTCTTAGATAGGATAAATCATTCTGTTGTATACACTGGGATTACAGAAGTATATATAAAAACATTAACCTAATTAAAAAAAAACTCTGAGATTAAAAGCATTCATGGTGTGTGGAATTAAGTGGTATAAAAAGCCATGCAGATGGTCATTGTGCACATAGACCAAGAGCAATGGGAAAAATATCACAGCTTTGTCCCAAAAGAAGAAATACTGCTTCTATATAGAAATACCAATTGTGTAGAACGTGCCCTGGCAGTGAGGAGGATGGACATGTTTCTGTGTTTTGAGGGCAAATGGGAGGGATGGGGAAGTTACTACAGACCCAGATACCTCCCAGAGTGAGACAGGTCAGGAGAAAGGGTAGGAACTACACAAGAGAGCAGAGACTATCTGGAGAAAATAAAATATAAATATAAAAAACCTGTGATAGTCAAGGAAAGCCAGTCCCAGGCTGGAATCAACCTCAGGACACCCATTTTGACCCTTGCTTTAGACTCTGTTATAATTTATATGATGGTATCCAAGGAGCCTACTGGACAACCAGGAAAAATAGACCATTTTCTATGCTAGTGGGGCATCTTCAGGAGGATTGGCTATGAGGGCTGATTCTCACCTTTGAGTGTCCTAACGAAGCCCTCTGTAATACCAGACAAGCTTAGATCATTCAGATTATGGGGCATGTACTTGGTAAAATTGTAGAACCCAAAGACTTGCCTGCTTAAGAGAAGGGAACTAATTCTGAGGCAAAGAACAACCCTGTGCATAGGTTTTTCCTAACTGAGGGGGCAAAGAAGAATCAACACTCAAGCTATGGAGGGCTTAAAAAAGAAATGTATCCTTAGAGGATTGCAGGTTTTAAATTGTTCAAGAATTATAGAATACCCATGAACCAACTCAGACACATTCGTCTTCACATTGCCCTTCCATTATCATGGGAATACTCATATTTAATATCCATTTGGAATTTGAAATTTATACATAGGATTTCCTTTAGATAGACCAAACTTTTCAGTATATCTATAGCCATGTGTTGTGGTAATAGGTACAATTCACAACGGGGTGTAATGGTAAATTGGCGAATTGTTCATTATGCAACTACAAATAGAAGAGGAACAGGGGTTCTAGAGAGTGACCATCATTGAAGTGAGTGGTAGTCCTCACTGAGGATAAGGATTGCAGAGACAACAGTTGCATCACAGAGGTGAGTTAGAAGTAGGTACAAGACCCCTTTTCCATGCGCACTGATACAGGGCTAGTCACTCTCATACTGATTGCATTTTAAAAATCTCCCTGTTACCCAGGATGTACCTCAAAACAATTGAATTAGAATTTTAACAGATGAGGCCCAGACATCAGCATTTTAAAAGTACCCAGATGACTCCACTGTGCAACCAGATTTTAGAGCCATTGTTTGAAGTAACTTTTGCAGGTAGGCAGGTTGACATCTGAGTAGAGGGAAAAAAATTGAAGCTCAATGATTGCTTGAAGACCACAAACTACAGCTTTGGAATTTTTTTTTTCCCTAGGCACTATCAGAATCACATTTCTCGTAGTGTTTTCTTTTGGTTATCTTGGAGGTCTACAAGAAGTTGCTTCCAGGGAGTACACTTTATTTTTAGGAGAGGATTATTTTGGGTTTGTAGGACAATAGGGGGTACAGAAAAATTCAAACCAAATTATCAGGGTGGAAACTATTGTTTGAGGGACACATGCAGGGAAAGGCTGCCAATCCTGGGACACATCTGGGAGGTCCATCTTTCAGGAAAAATTGGCAAATCGGGACTTGATTGCATGTTCCCTCAACTTTTCATTTGGTTGGTCTTGCTGATGGTCACTTAGAGTGGAATTCAGGGTACAGTGGTGTGCAGAACATAGGTACTCAGCATTGATTAAGAAGTCCCAGGTGGTGGTGAGGTAGGCAGACACATTGTCATCTCAGTCTTTGTTTTATTGAAGGTGCTGTCATTCTGATCAAAGCTTTATAACCTTCCCATTAAAACATAGATATCAACTCCCAAGTTTTCCTTATTTAAAACCAGAAGCATGATTCTTGGATTTGAATGAAAGTTCTGTTTCTCCTTAACCTTTCTTTAAAAAAATTCAGATTTTTAAATAAAAGTGCTATATAACTTTTCGATTCTTATAAAAGCAATTCTATGGCCCTATGACAATATGAGATTTAAAGAAGTATGAGGAATTTTCAGAGTTCATGGAACATGTGTATTAAAATTATATATGAAATTCAAATTGTTTTACAACAAAATAAATCTCTTAATTCTACCTTCCATGAACCTTTTGAAGTCTCCTAATATCTCAAAGTGAAAAGAATCTTTACCTGGGAAAAGCTTTGAACTTATTTAGAGCTTTCTGAAGTGGTCAGTGAAAGACTTTTTCTGGTTCAGTGCAGAGGAAGATAGAGGTAGAATCCCACAGAGAATATGAGATACCACATCTCCAAAGACAGGACATGTTGCCCTGGAAGAGGCTCTGGGGCAGGGGTGAGCAGTGCAGCTTTGCCATGACTGTCACATGGTTACTGTTAGCTTCTCTCTGTATGGTTCTTCATAGGACTGGGAAGATAGAGGGGCACATGGTTCTTAGTGAGGTGGTGTTGTAGTGTGCTTTATGAGTGCCGTTTGAGAAGCTAAATATATTCATGCTATTGTCTTTGACCACCAAAAACACTAGGGAGGACATATTCTCATCTAACCTGAATAATTCAGAACCAGTGGATAGAAAGAGAAATCATCCAGGATCCACCTAGAAAGACAGGGATAGAGCTAGGTTGGGAAGGGAGAAAGACATTCCGGTAAATGTGGTAGTCAAAGGACAGTTTGGAGAGCTAGAAACAATCTTTGCTTGTTGTCTTGACTGTGGGAAAAGCATACTGTCCTTTGTAACTAGACCCATGTCACCTGAAAGGCACCTGGTGTATTACTAGCTAATTCTTGCTAATGCATTCCATACTGGTCAAAAGCAGAACCAGTCTGCTTTCCAAATACATCCAAACAATAGATATATGCATTAAAGAGCAAAATAGCTAGAAATTTATAGGAAAGACAGAGAACAGAGGTACATATTAGTCATTAACATGGGGATACAATTAGTCAAATACCCTATAGGGATAAAATGCTCCTGTTGCATAATAAATAAATTTCCAGGAAAAAAAGACTTTTAGAGATGAACTTGTAGACTCAAAATAAATTTGAGAAATAGTAACCAAGTTTGTGGAGCTCATTTGACTTAGCATTAAAAAAATCCTTTTAAATATTAGATTTCAGATAATTAGAAATTTGAATACTAGTTAGATATCTGCCATTAAAGAATTGTTGCTGAACTTTGATGTTATTAATGGTATTATGGTTACACAAAAATGTTTATACATGAAATAATACAATTATAGAATTTGCTTCAACATAATATAGGAGGGGGTAGTGAGTAGGAGTAAGGTTGAAATGAGATTGGCATAACTTGATAATTATTAAAGCTGTGTGATGGATTCATGGGTTCATTTTACCATTCTTGTCTACCTTTGTGTTTAAAATTTTCTGTACTGAAAACAAAATGTAATTGACAGTTATTATTTGGTAAAGAAGGAATTTTATGGGAAAGAAAAAGTGTGGTAGGATCAAAATTACTTAAACTCCTGCCAGGTTATAACTACGGGATTATAGCATCAGATAGGAGAAACAGATTCTTTGTTCTACCATCCTTTCCTCTCATCAGACTTGAGACCGAAGTCACCTGATCTTGACTATGAACCTCAAACCATGAGCTCAAACAAACCAATCCTTCCTTCCTCCCTTCCTCCCTTCCTTCGTAGTTTCTCTTAGGTATTTGTAAAATTGGCTAATCAGCTTTAATAATTTTCTCTGAAACATGACAAAGAAAGCACAAAGACCAAGGGGGGAAAAAAAGAACTCTGATTCTGGATTTTTTTTTACCCTGATAATTTGCGGTAGGTTTCTTTATTTTTTGAATATAAAGTGACAGAAATAATTTGCCATTAGAAAAGAGAAAGAATCTTTGACTATTTACAGCTTTTATACATCACAAAGTTTTCCTGTTTTTATGTTGTCTTTTTTTAATTCGTTTTGATTTTTGTTCCTGCATCATTTGAACAAGTCCAAACTGGAAATCTATACAGCTCACAAAAAAGCCCTCCACCCAAAAGGCCCCCCACCCCCACCCAACCCCAATGAGAACAAGATAAATCAAAAGAATGAAATCAACTTATTTCTTTTGTTAAAGGTAAGTCATTTGCTTATATATATACTTGTAATTATTTTTTTTCAAGTTCAAACACCAAAATCCAAGAGAAAGGAAAAAATAAAAAGACCCAGTCATCCACCCCCTCCCCCCCACTCCAGAATCTCAATTGATCCCTGCATGTCCAAAATATGAAATATATATTTACAGAAAACAAAAACAAAACAGAAAAAACTTGGAGGTGGATGGGCTGGGGATCTGAGAGTCAAGAGGAAGGAGAGCCAGCCCCAGGGAGAGGTGGGATCTGGGCCCCACCGAGACATCTGTGCTTCCCCTGGGGAGGACACCCATGGGAAAGCTGTGACCTTTCCCCTTCTGCCATGTTACCTCAGGAGGGCCACAGCTCTACATTTGCAACCAATGCAACAATGGATACAAACTTAGTGTGCTCCCCCCTTTCTCTCTCTCTCTCTCTCTCTCTCTCTCTCTCTCTCTATTTGCACACTCACACACTCACACACACCCCAATCATTGTGGCTAAGTGTAATTATGATACTGCTGGAGCACTGGCTGCTGTCCAGTAGAAAGAAAGGTTTTCCCTGGGACAAGAGCTCACTGCCCAACCCGTCCCTTCTGTAATCTCCACGGTAGCCTGCCATCTAGCTCCCTTACAATGTTTGCACACGCATCAGAGCTATTCTGAAGCATTAACACTGGGATGGTCATTGAGTGACAAAGCTCCTGTGAGGAAGATGCCTTCTCTCCCATTAATTTGTCCCCTCCACCAGCTGCCTGAAAATTCTCAAGCATACTCAACCAGGGGTGGGGGGGCATCCTGAAGGAAGGAAAATCTGAGGCAGAGTAAATGGAAGCCATGTTGTTTTCTGCTCACCTTGGAAAAGCTGGGTTGTTGGAGGTCATAAAGGAAACAGAGTAAACAATAAAATCATCCCTGGCTTTCTTTGCTGCCCTCTGCCTTCTTAAGTAGAGTTCCATTTGCCCTGTATGTAGCAAGGAATAACCCTCTGAATTGGTCGAAATACCTTTCCAACACAAGAATCTAAGACATGGCGTCTGAGGCACCAGGATGAACACGATTTCACCTTGTGGGGGAAATGCCAGATGGAATATGGCCAAGCTCAAGGGTTTACCTTCACTGGAGGACTGGTCAGCTGAGCTAGCAGCAGCAGTGGTTGTGACCACATTCATGCCCTGTTAAGATTCTGGGGGATTTGGAGCATGAGACCACCAGAAGTGGCTGAACAGCTTCTGTTTCACTTCACATTAGGACTCTTAAAGGGTATAAGAAATGAAAGAGAATCAGCACATCATCTGTGCCAGAAGTATGTGGAATGTTCTTGTGGGCAGGCTGTTTGCTGTCACTAAATCTTCAACTGCCTCCCTTGGACAAAGTTATATTTGTCAGGCTTTGCCCCAAAGTCTTCCCTTTCCCACTTGTCATGCAGCCTGACTCAGTCTTTTCTATTAACCCTCTGCTGAGCTTCTAAAATCCTTTCCCAAGGCTTTGAAAGACCTGACATCATTGCTGTATGTTCCTTTCACTGTTCCTCTGTCACAAAAGAAAATATCAAATAAGAACAATGAGATGATTTTCATTTAGCAGAACTGGGTAAAAAGTGAAGCTGCCTTCCTTTTTTTTTTCTTTGAACTTTACTCCTTATTCATTATATTTTTAAGGGAAGAACAATGAATTATAATTTCCCGTAAGGACACTGACTTAGTTGGGAATCTTTAAAATGGAAAGGACAAGACTTACTGTGAAAGTGTGTTCTTTCTTGGGTAAATAGTCAAAATCTAGCCTCAGACCAGGATCCCACTTGCTGATGTCTATAAAAATATGCTGTGACCTATCACAGATGGCAGTGGAGTTTTTAATGGAAGTTAAACAAACATCAGGGTTGAAGGAGGAGACATCAGGAGCTAACCCCAGCACTTGCAGCCTGACCACCTTAGTTTGACAAAGACCTTCTGGGCCAGTCCAAAATATCCATGAACCTTGCTTAGGAAAATCACTGTGGAGTCTAAGACACCTACAAAATCTGTTATCATTCATACTTCCATTCCCAGCTGACCATGAACATCTCCCATCTTGACCCATTGCCCATCCACTACTAACTTCCCAAATCCTTCACATGAGTCTGCAGTTCAGCACCAGCCACAGCCCTGGCCATTTCCTTCACTTACTTGCTCTCACAGACATGTGGCTTTTCCTTGAGGGTCCTGCTGCCCATTCCAGTGGAAGACATTTCTTCTCATGCACTCCTTGTGCCACAAGGCCTGGTGGTGGAATAGGTGCCTTCCTAGTTCCTCAGTGATGTGTCCACACCACCCTCCATCACCCTTCCTTAGAAAAGCATACACCAGGCCGGTGCTGTGGCTCATTAGGCTAATCCTCCACCTGCAGTGCCAGCACCCCGGGTTCTAGTTCCGGTTGGGGTGCCAGATTCTGTCCTGGTTGCTCCTCTTCCAGTCCAGCTCTCTGCTGTGGCCCTAGAAGGCAGTGGAGGATGGCCCACGTGCTTGGGCCCTGCACCCGCATGGGAGACAAGGAGGAAGCACCTGGCTCCTGGCTTCAGATCAGCGCAGTGGCCTGCAGTAGCAGCCATTTGGGGAGTGAACCAATGGAAGGAAGACCTTTATCTCTGCCTCTCTAACTCTGCCTGTCAAAAAAAAAAAAAAAAGGCATACAGCAATGAAATGCAGTGTTGCAAATCAGACTATACTAGCTATTCATTTTTCTTAATGTAATAATTAAAATATACTTAAATCTCTATCCCACATTATGTGAAAATATACATTTGTCATATGGAATTCAATATTTTGTTGACTTCAGGATTTATATAACCATTCCCAGATCCTATCCCCTCAGTTCCTTGACCGCTGCTCCTTCCATAATATTTTTCTCCAAATTAGCAAAAATTTCCACACAAGACCCCACATTTCATTACCAATTAACACAACCCCTCCCTAATTTCAACTGCAAGCAGCTAGCTCTCCGATTCAGATCCTAATTTCTTAGATTACTCCATCTGGGACCCTGATTCTGTAATTTGGTGACCCCAGCCTGTATCACAACTCCCTGCGCCTACTATCCTTGGCTAATCCCCATTCTCCCCAAATCCTCACTTTTCTCCTCTCCCAGCTTAGATTCCTTGGCCAATCATTATTATCACTACATTGCATTTGCACTTAATTCCACATCATTTGCTGCTTTCATTGCATTTGCCTGATTAAATGCCAACCCTGCTTAAATCCAACTCTTCACTCTATGTCAACAGATAAATGTGACTGAAGAAAATTTCGTCATTTTCTTTACTCATGACCATGAAAACCTCAAGTAAGTCCTTTGTGGCACCTAGTAGATCTTTTAAATTTTTGTTGATTCTTTCTTTTTGCTGCTGGATGGCTATAAACTAACAAATGCCACCTTCTCTTCCAAAACCTCCAATACTCATTCCATTCTCAGTCTTATCTGATGAACTCCCCATGTATTAACATTCAGAAAAGACATACTCTCACCATCACACTTTCCAATCCCCTTGCATTTGTGCCCTCCTTTGTGTCAACAACCACATTGGGAAATTTAATACAGTCCCTCCATCTGTGCATTAGTTTCTGTCCCCTCTCACCTCATTAAAGAGGTGGCAGCTGTTGTCTATTCTTCTTAAGCATCAACTTTCCCTCTTCCCTGGATCATTCTGGTCAGCATAAAGTAGACTGTTAGCTCTCCCCCTTAAAATAACATCCCTCCTAGAACCCACATGGCCAGCTATTTTTGCTATTTCTATACCCTCTTCACAACAGAACTGCTAAAAGAGTTGCCTATTCATGTGGTCTTCAATTCATCTCCCCCCAATATTTCTTGAATCCATCCCCAACACCTTTGTCCCCACAAGTACTTCTGCTGTGTCAACAATGGAATGACCTTCATGTTTTCATACAATCTTATTCTTAATAATGCACTTGATTTGTTCCTGGCCATTCCTCCCCAATCTAGTCTCTCCTTATTCCTTGTGACTTTGAACATTTCCCCTGGAATCAGTCCAGGGAACTATCTGTACTCACTCTGTAGATTCAGTCTTAGTTTCAAATACCCACCTGAATGCTGTACTTCTTCCCTGAAATCCATATTCAAATCTCCAAATCCCTAACTGGAATATCTCTGGGAGATATCATAGACACCTTCAACATACCATGCTTTCTTCCTTAACTGCTTTACCAGTAGGATTTCTGTCATTACCAGCAACTCCAAACTTCCAATATCTCAGGCCTCAAGTTCAAGTTATATTTGATTCTTTTCTTTTACTTACTCAAGACCTAATGCGTCAGCAAACCATGTCAGATCTGATCTTAAAAATGTTTCCAGAATCCAACCACTTCTTATCACGTCTTCCACCAACACTATGGTCCATGCCACTACCATCTTTTAACTGAGTTATTGCAATGGTCTCACTGCTGCTTTAACTTCTACCTTCTCACAGAATAGTCTTAACACAGCAGTCACAATGTTTCTCTGTAAATCAACGTCTGATCACATCACTGTCTGCTCAGAACCTTCTAGCAACTTCTCATTTTACTCTTGGTCAAACCCAAACCTGTACAATGGCCTACACAGACATGACTTGGGCGACTGCCACCTCTGACCTTCTCACAGTCTCCTTCCTCAGTGACCTTCTGGCTCTTCCTGAAGTATGCCAAGCAAGTGGTTTCATCCCAGAGCCTTTGTAGTTGCTTTTAGCCTGAAGAAAAGCTCTTGGCATAGGAAGCCCCAAGCATCATCCCCTCATTTCCTGTAAGCCTTATTCAAATGTCAGCTTTTCATAGAAACTTTTGCTGTTCACCCTGTAAACCTCATACTGATCCTACCTTCTCTATCCCTTTAATCTGTTTTCACAATGCTTTGAGGACCTGACATGAGTTGTAATTGTTCTTTGTCTCCTTCCTCTCATATACATGTAAACTTCAAGAGGATATTGACCTCACGCTGATCACTCTTGTATCCCAGGATTGAGACTGGTCAGGTATGGGGTTTCCACTCAGCAAATGTCAATGCATGGATAACTACTCTATCCAGTACATGCTATGACACTGGAGGTCGAATCTACCTAAAATAAGTGTTCTGGAAAAGTAAAGAAAACCCCAAACTTGTATATTTGTTGTAAATTGTAAGCAAATTTCTAAATGGCAAACACAGAGCTCACTTTCAATGTTTCTTTCTGATTTGAGAATTGACCTCAAGTTTATTATTTTAATAAAAGAGGAAATGACCCCTAGTCTCATAAAATGATGGGTCACTGTCTCTCTCCTACTTTGATGCCTAAACCTCAATCCTAAATTACAGGTCAGAATGTTTGGGTGGATGATTTAACATTGAAGCCTTCCTTGATTACTAAAAACATATGATCTACTACCCTTCTGTGATATCTTATAACTTCAAAGATCATGTCTGAGTCAATAAATTCTATGTTAACACGTGTATATTAATCAGGATCAAATCAGTCTCTACAATCTATATTTGTAACCTATTCTACCAATATCCCTGCCCAAACAAACAGTAACCAGATTACAAATCTGGTGTTTTCACTAAGGATGGGTAGAAATTAGATTTTTCCCAGAGGTGACCTAATTTTGTGATCAAATTCATTCCAAAATTGAAAAGTTTCACCTAAATCTATTCCCATGGTAAAACCTGTTTTCAGTGCCATTGGCTTCTCAATTGAAGTAAAGGTAATGACAATGAGCATGAGGTGGCTCTTGTCAGAACATTTCAGCTGCAGAACGGAAATCACTTGAGAGAAGCTGCTCTAAAGGTTTGTAGAGTTTTTGAAGCACTGCAGCACACTGCTCATCAGTGCCTTCCTGGAAGAAAGCCCATGACTCTCTCTGAAGTCGGTCTGTCACCATTTCTGAGCAATCAATGGTAGCACAGCTGCTTCTCCTGCCAGAGCCCATAGGGAATGGCAAACAGTCTCCTAGGGAATAAGCAGAGCATCTGGATGTGTCAGGCCTCTTCCTCCCCCAACCGCTCAATATGGATTCACTCTGCTTTCCTTCTGGATCTTGCTCAGCTCCATGGAGAGCATTTTCAGAACAAAGCCTTTTTCTTCTCATGGAATTTGCTTATACCTACTATGCCTACTATTATTCCAGTAAATACACAATGTTAGGGGTTAATGATTAATATGCAATAACTCATTGGATGAGGTTTTTAGAAACATTTGCCTTCCATGAACTTGGGCTCAGGAGAGCTGAGGTTGGCATGCATCAATAACGTATTCAAACCAAAACCAAGGACCCTCCTTCACAGAGGGTTTGTGATGAGAGGGGAAAAAAAGGAAAAATCACAGCGTGCCTCTGCACACACAAGTATCCCAACCAAGGACTCTGTCCTGTGCATACTCTTAGAGCAGTTACCTCCTGTTTAAGAACCCATGCTTCTCCACTAACACCATGGTGGATTCTTTGCCAGCACTTGACCTTGAGTTTGAAGTGTCTAGGATCAAGTCCTCGTCTGCTTGCTTCTCATTCTCTTTATTGACTCTAATTTTTCAAGTTGAAAAATATGAGAGAGCACGATACATGACTATCATGAATTCAACAATCCAAGAATTCAGTTTAAGGAAAAACATCCTTCTTAAGAAAGGAAGGTTAAGAGGGAAATCAAGATGATGAAGTTTAACCAGGACGCTGCCAAAGAGGGCAGAAACAATCTCATGTGAGGAATCTGAAAGAGGATCCTTAACTGAAACGCCTTTCGCAATGGCTGAAAACGGAGGTATTTTTGTCTGCTTCCTATTATACCTCTCTCTTCATCTACCGTGGAAATTCTTTGGAAACATGGCTGCCCAGGAAAGGAAAAAAGATCCTCAAAGAAGCGATGGCTTAGGAGGAGAGAATAAGAACCAACAACTGTCAGGATCAAATGAGATAGGTTAATTATGCTTTTCCTTTATGACTTTCCAGGTCATAGTTTGCCATAGGATGTTTGATTGGTGATTACCAGTAAATTTCCCCACCATGTGGTAGAAACAAAGAGAAAACTAAGAAAAGCAGAAGACAGCCATAACTGGCTCAGATCAGTTGTATTCTTGGTCTCATTGCTCTCTAGGCAAAAGCAACTCTCGCCCTTCCATGCACGAGTAGAATATATGACAGAGAGTAACGTTGCTATGGCTTGTTTCACTGAAGAGGAGATGCTGTAAATCTCGAACACTGCACCATCCTGATTGGTTGGATGTTCTTGTGCAGAAAGATTTTTCCAGGATTTTTTCCTCCTCCATGGCACAGTGTTGAAATTCAGGAGTTAAGAATTCTTTGTCTTCTGACTGCCACAAAATGTCCGATTCCTATCTAACAGGCCTTACCCATACATAGTTAGGCAGATGAGGCCAAGGAGATGTGTGAGCTACCCAGGTGCCAATGACCAAATGGACAATCTGGCTTTGGAAGAAAGCACATCTACAATGTCAACAGGAGGTATATTCTGCCCTCAAGCTCAATGTGAAAGAGCTCAAGTTCCTGTGGCTGCTGCTGCTGAGAGGGTTCCGAAATTGTCTTGATCTTCCTCTGGCTTTCCGTAGGATACCTCATCACCTAGGCCCACTGAAATTGACTTACACTAGTATGTTATCCTGATTTTGTATACTACGGTTCCGTGCCTTCAGTCTGGGGCAATTTGTATTTCCTCTGAGAGACTTTGTAATGCTTCCCTGAGCTATACCACTAGAAGCTTTGCTTGAGGGTGATCTTCTTCATTTCCACTTTAATGTTTACTAAGACCAAGACCTCTCTGGTTTAAATTAAGTAATGCTCTGTTCATGCTTTAGAGTCCCCATGAATCTTGTTATTCCATTCCCCCTCCATCCCTTACCCTAAAGAACAGAAGTTGTAGCACCAGGGGAATAAGATACTCCAAATTCATCACTTGTTGGTTTCATCACTTATTATGTAGCATCATAATTTGCTATCTGTAATGACCTTCATGTGAAAAATGAAGTCAGCAATGCAGTCAAGGTAGAACAGCCCCTATCGTGCTCTTAGCTTCTGCTAAGATTTCATGGCACCTATTAGGAGGCAGAAAGCAAATAAAAGATATTTCTGATTACTTTGATTCTGAACTTTGAGCTTAAGTGGGACCCTGGTGCCTGCCTCCACTCCGCTTCCCCATGCACTGTAGGAAAATTACCTCTTCCCTCTGCACATAGCCTTCCCTGAAACCTGGCTTCTGAACTAGGCTCTAGGGATAACTTCATTGTGAAGGTGATGGCAAAGAACACTCAGCTTACCTATATGAGGACTCTGTCATCCTTCTACTTCCTCTCATCTTCCTTTTAAAGATAGGGCAGACTGATTAAGTGAAGAAAAATTCATTGAGGATGTTAGAAGTCTTCCAGTGTTCTTGGTATACACAGAATTCTCTGTATATGAGGCATAATCTGTCTAGTGGTGGAAACTACCAACACCATCCTCTTTGGAAAGCCTGATAGTGCTGAGCCCTACAGTACTCAAACATGAACAGATGGGTCACAGGAGAAGGGAGATAGAGGATTTGGTTCATGGGTGCTTAAAGAGTTCACAATTGCAATTGCAGGGCAAAATCAAGACTGCACAGGTATTCTCAGGAGACATTTGTTAGACTTTGGAAGTCCCATGCTCCTTTTCCTTCAGGATTTACGCAATAATTGTTATAAGGAAGGACAATTTCTTTTAATTCATTGTTTAAGTGAACTGCCAGTTATAACTTCCAGTTATAGTGCTAGGGCTAATTAATGCCATAGTAGTAGAATTAGGCTTGCTATGTTTGAACTTTGTTAAATTTCATAGAGGTGTTCCCTTGATGTTCATGTGGTCTTCCTCACTCTGACTTGACCAAAACTTTGAGAGTATCATGACTCCCCTGCATACATTTCTGAAGACTCCCATTCCCATGCAACACTCTAGGAAAAAAAAAATCCTCTCTCCCAGTTTTTTCTTGAGCTTTTTATTTGTTTTACATGCTACATAAAAATTTTTAATAAAAAATACTCAATGTCTTAACCCACAATATTGAAAATCATTTTTTTACTTTCAACCTTTCTTCATTACTTAAACTTTTTGAACCTATTTCTGGTTTTCAAATTCCTGCCTTGTTGTGGCCCCTTTTGACTGGTCTCTGTGCACTTAAGTGTGTGTGTGTGTGTGACAGAGACAGACAGACAATGAAAAAATCTCATGGAAAATATTTGGCTAAATCAGCTGCCTGGTTTCATGATTTTCCTCCATTACTAGATGCTTAAAATTTTGAGTGTGATGGACAATTAAAGCAATATTGCTCACTGAGCTGGACAAGTCTGGGTTATGCAAAGAATTTTCTATATAACCTTAGTTTTGGCTAAACATTCCATTTCACCATATTTCAACTTTTTCATCTGTAAAATTAAAAGGATCATGTTTCCATGCCAAAGTAGCCCATTTGGAGAAATGGTTTGGGCAACCTATCCTGCATCCACATACCAACTCTTCTGTGAGTTATTCTGAGTATACCACAGGCTTAGAATGGTGGAGGCCTGGGTGGGCTACTGTTGATCTGGATGATTGCATCTTTGTCCAAAGAGGGGAAACTGAGTCAGGGTGGAAACTGGTGTAGTTCAGTGCCTTTCACATAGGAATTAAGTTAAGCATCTTCAAGAAATGACTTTGACTTTCTGTGTGGTCATTCTTATGCCTTCTACAAATGAATAGCCAGAGTAAATGTTCTGAAAGTAAGCAAGTCTCAGGAGCAATCTTGTGACCAAGTTCTCTTATCTGCAATACATGTGCTTGAACGTACAGCATAATCCTCTTAGTCCTTAAAATACAGTGGCATTGATTGTACTAGACTGGTTGGACTCTGGTTTGCAAACATTAAACACAATCTACTTGTTCAAGCTCTATGATTTTTCAACTTCTAATCCTAATATGCATGTGTGCTTGAGAGTAATGGCTTATAGTTAACCCAGGATATAGACTGCTCCAAGTTCCAGAAACTAAAACAGAAGAAAGAAAATGAAATAGTGAAAACGTGATGAAAGAAAAAAGACCTGTTCATGCCATGCTTAACTTCAAAGCACATTCACCTCTAAGACAGGATATTTTTACCAGCTCATGCATTTCTCAAAAAGAGTTCTACCTGTATGCTTATATAAACGTACTTCCTGCCCATGTGAAGTCTTGACGTCTTCCCTGATCCTGACCCTGGGAGAGGTAGACAGGAAAATGAATAAATCTCTCAAAGCACTCATCCCCACTCCTTCCTCCATTGAGAATAGGCCTCATCACCCTTGCTCATCTCTTTAAAGAGATGTATACACACATGGTATAGATGTCTCTCAGCCAAAGGACTGTCTGTTCCCAGGGATTCTGGCTCCTGCTTCTCCATTCTCTTAGCACTGATCCATTAATGGGACAGCAGAAGACAATGTGGGTTCCACGGGATAAAAGAGGGCACTCAGCAGGATAACTAGGTTACTCCTTCACAAAGAAAATGCTTGCTTCATACGAAGCCTGGGCATTTCTGTCAAACCTTCAGGTGTGGTGTCAGTGATCTACAAGCCTGGTGATGTAAAGGACAAACCAGTGTGTCTGCCCATCCAGTTCTAATTGCACTTCCAAGTACCAGAAAATGACTGAAATTACGTGTTGTGTTGAGGAAGCGCACAAGCATGTGGTGGCACGTGGTGAAGAGATTAAATTAGTTACAGCTGGTGACATGCAGGTGAATATATGGAAGCAATTTATAAGTTACTGAGAGCACAATGCAGCCTGAGGCAACTTCATGGTCTAGTGTCTGGTTTGCAGGTGTTCTTACATCCCAGCCAGAGGGAACATTAAAATAGACCTTGATTTCAAAAGAAAATGATCAATTATAGTTCAATTGTGACCATGACAATGATAGTTAACTATATAGGCTGTTGTGAACAGGACTGAGGATTCAGGCAGGCATTTGTAGAAAACAGGTAATAAATCCTTATTTAAGAGAAGCAGGAAGCTCAGCCCTCAACACTCCTATGGCCACATACCTTGAAGCTTTACTTCTGCCACACCTCCGTGTGAGTTCCTTTCTGCAAGGAGGACAGATAAAGTCAGGACCCGTTGGCTCAGATTCTGAGATAGAGCTGTTGTAATGAGTCACTCCCTCTCTGACCAGGGTGATGGTCAAAGGCTCTTTGTGTGCTGTGGTCCAAAGGGTCTGGGCACTGGCTCGGGGTGGACTCATTGCTGGACTCTTTGTGGGCATTCAGGCTCTCATAGACATGGTAGGACCCAGGTTGCTCATTCATCTCTGGTGGGCACAGTTACAGCTGAAAGCAGCTGTGATGCAGCTCTTGCTTTGTGGATACTGCCTGGGCAGCTTTTACCTTCACTAGCGTTTTTGGTATTGGATCAAACAACCCCTAGTCCACAACTAGGTTTGAAGGTGGCCCTTATAAAATGCCTTTTTATTTTTCTTCATTCTTTCCCTTCCTGCTGCCTTTCAAGTTTAAAGTGAACGTGGAGAGTGCTGTTATTCTATCCTTGGTCAGAAGACACTCAGGAAATAGGCTCCAAATTTCAGATGAGCTTTTGCTCCCTGGGAGTGACTAAAGGGGTGGACATTTGGGAGGTCACTAGCTCTTTCTAAAGCTATTATCAACGCGAATAATCAAGGGGGACCTTAAGACTAAGGTGCAGGCTCCTGGCTTTGTGACATGAAGGGAGCATTTTTATATGCCTGTATCTGTTCCATATATCCTCCATCACCTTTTGCTAGTATGCATATGCAAAAACTTGACATGCATACCTCATGAGAAAACTACCTGAAATTTGGTTCATTGGTTGATCCAGTAGATTTGTCAATGTCCTTTTTGTGAGGGTGGCTGTATTAGTATTCTCCCACCAGACCCTTTGGTTCATTGGTTAAAATAAAAATCTCACAATGAGATGGATTTTGCTCTAAAATGTTAATTATCCCCATTCCCAGGAGTGGGACTATGCAGACTGTTGAGAAGAAAAATTATCCCTCTCTCAACTCACATTTTCATTTTCACTAAGCATCTCACAAGTTGCCATAAGATTTGCCACATCTTTCCAATAATTCCTCCACCATCACTCCCCACCATCTCAATGAAGAATAGACTTCATTTGCAAAAGACTTGTCACTTCTTATAACTTATTTGAGTTGAGTTCTCTATAGTATGCTTTATATTAGCCCACAGTGGCAGGAGACACCTCCCAAAGGCAAATAATTCATGGCCAATGACAAACAGATTTACAGAGGAGGCTGGCCAGGAGAAGGGAAGGGACATTTATCAGTGACCAGAGCAACTTGAGTGAAAGAACAGTCATGGCTCTGAGAGTTTCTACACAGGAACAAAGAAAGCTGACGCTGACCAGAAGGAACAGGACAAATTGCTAAGCTGAGCTAAGGGGGAAGGGGTGGGTGAACAGCAATAAGAGCATAAAAGGGACAAGAGGCCAGAGTGATGTTGTCTCTGTGAGGTAATGCTTCCCTTCATATTTACAGAGAAAGCCATCATTTGGGGACTACAATATCCTCTGCTCTAGCTCATTCAAATCCTAACTTTGATTTTGAATAAACAGATCAGAGGTAAAGTGCTTAATTATCTCCACTTTCATTTCCTACTCAGGAGAAGTAACCCTATAACCGAACCTCAGAAAGTGTGAGTATCTGCAGAGCCCTTGTCTTGCAATATCATAACAAGGACATGAACAGCGTACACTGTTCACTCTATTCAGGCCTTGTGTAGACACCAATGTGGAAAGGCATATGGTATGCACTGTCCTGCAGGACTGCCATTCAGGGTCCACAAAGGTGCAGGATTAGTAAGCCTGAATCATGACAAGGTCACTCTAGTACTCTTAAAACAAAAAATAAAAAACTATGCATTGTATGTGTTGGATCAGAGTCTGATCAATTCCAGCATAGGTCAGGCTGTTAGAGACTCAGTCTGGAAGTGGAGTGTCTGGATACAAACTCCACTCAATGCATCTGAAAACTCTTGATATCAAACATTTGATCAATATCCTTCATGGCCTCTGTCACTTACTTTGAACATATGTGGTGCTCCAGGGAACAGTCATGGAACAGCTTCAAATTCCCACTTGAAAGTAGTAATTAATATGGAAATGTATGCATGCAGTGTATTACTGTGCTGATGTGTGCAAAAATAGAAATGTGTGTAGGGTACTCATCCTTAGGTTTTTGTGCAGATTCAAGTATCCTGTAGGCTAAATAAAATGACCTCTCCTCAATTATAATATCCAATATTTACTAGAGCCTTTCTTTACAAGGATCTTTAAGTGAAATAGAATAAGGAGATGAATAAACACATCACTCTGACCACAGGGAGTCTGTGATACAGCCAGGTGAGATGAGACATGTAACCACATGACTATGAAATAAGATGGTCTTTGATAATAGTCACTAAGGGAGATAAATTACTATGTCCATTTTCAAAATGTCTGAATATTTTCTCTAGATGAGGGATAAAGAAAGGTAGACAAGATGACCACTGTCTGATTTCTGGTCTTTGAAGACTTAGGATGGATGTTATATAAGGAAGGAGATGGGAGATGAGGAGGAGAGTATTTTGGGCAAAGCAAATACTAGTAAGAGTGACAACTAGAAAATCAGTTGGTATGGGAAAGTTTAAGGGACATGCATCAGATTCAGCATGTCTGAGTCACAGCATACTCGTATAGGCAAATAACAAACTATTCTTGCTGACAATCTGTGGCAAATGAAGCCCTTCAAAAGTTGTGTTTTGAGTTGAAGAATGACATCTACTTTGTATTTAGGAAATGAGTATTGCTAAGAGTTGTTTCAAATCTAAAATCTTAGAACAATACTAAAGGACTTTGAATAATCCAGTCTAAAGGAAAAGGCATGAATGCAAAGGGAATAATGAAAACATTGGGTGTAAGAATGAACCGAATAGATGCTTAAGATGAGGAAGTGAAGGAGTCAGAAGTATCTGAAATGCTTTGGTGACAGAAGGAATGGAGGTATCATTATCAAAAATAGGGAACTTGGTAATTCTGGTTTCAACGATGGTCTTAGACAGTTGAGTCAATATGAAGTTGGTTGCCTGGGAAGTGATTGAAATATGCGCATGAAGCTTAGGAGTTAAGATTGGGAATTCACCTTCATTCAAATAGTAATTGAACTTGGAGAAGACAGAGAAAGATTGCTGTGGAAGCATGGAGAAAAGAAGTGCTAAGCTCAGAACATGGGAAGTCCCTGCTGGGGAGTAGAAGGAAGAAGAGGAACAAGTGATGGATCAAAGGATGAGAGAGCTAAGACTAAAAACAGGATAAAATGCTCATTTTAAATTTAAGTTAATGTTGGATGAAGATTTGGGGGTAGGGGACTTTATTGGTCTTGTAACAAGAAGTTAATTGATTGGATGTTACCAGAGAGTAGTTTTCCACAGCATGCAGAATGCAGTCCAGTTATAAAGCCTTGACTGCTGGAAGAGGAAGAAAGAAAGCTATGTCTCTGAGAAGTTTGGAAGCAAAACGATCAAGAGACAGGTCAGGAATCCAAGAGTCTCACTGGAATGAAGAAAGGCTTATCTTTAGAGATGGTTACACATGTGTGGAAGGGATTGAAGATGCAGCAGGGACAGGGACTATTGGCTGGAGCACCTCTCAGAAGAGGTCAGAGGGGCATCAGAGTACCAACGAGTTGGGTGGGAAGATGGAGGGATCAGGGTGAAGGGCAGAAAATAAGGTAGAGGAGGGCTTCCATCAAAATGTGATCATATTTTTTCTTGGGGACACAATGGGAAAGAGATGAAGTAAAAGAGAGGATGATGAACAACAAATTTAAGAAATACTTAGAGAATGTGACATGGAGTCAACATGGGAGAAATAATGAAGATGTCCAAGCCAGTAGGGTTCAGTTGAGATTCACTGGATTGCATATGTGCTCTTTGGCATAGATTTAAGAACTTCTTTTCCTGCCATGGGGATGGGTGATGGGCTACAATGTTCGATAAGCAAGGTAAGTGTGGTGAAATGCAAGAGGAAGAAGAGAGTACTGCTGCTGTGGGTGAACATAGTCAGTAGCTTTTCCAGTGACCAAAGGGGGAAGCCGGATAGAGTTACGCAGAATACCAGAGAGGGCTTGAAAGAATGCAGACAATTTAAAAAAATATATGCAAGGTTGTGGTCAGAGATGGAATGCCAGAGTTGTAGCCTTGGGAGGTGCAATAATGGGGAAAAAAAAAAAAAAAGTCCAGGAGTGGTCATGATGCACAAAGCTGAATCTCTGCAGCATTTTTAAAAATATCATAAGGTGTATCATTGACTCACACCCTGAAACCAGAAAATATTCAACCTGCATGTATCATAATACACATCCAGGCACACCTATTTATGTATACACAATATACATATTTAAATATTTTATACTTATTCATTCATATATTCTATGTGAATAGAATATAGTCTATTTCAAAATCTTTTATAGCCTTTGCAGCATTAGTGCAGGGACATAGTTCAGTAAACCTATGTTTATTGAGCACAAACTAACGTTTTATCTCCTTCATGGTACTGGAATCTGCTCCACCCACTAAATCACAATAGTAAAATAATTACACATGAAGAGAATTCAGGCTTAAGGAGTAGAAACTAAATCTTTAAAATAATGGTGATATAATAGACTTAGTGTTGTACATCTTAATTGCACCCTGAATCCTTGCATTGCGTTTCATTTCTTTTCCCTTTGCCAAAACACATTCTGCACATCACTGTCCCTAGGCTGTGAGGAATTCTATTCATCCACTCTGCTTTCTACCTTTAGTTCTCACCAGGGGTCCTCACCCTCCTAATTACACTAGTAATTATATTTTAAAGCATGGAACAGTGCCAGAAACTCACTGTGATGAATCCCGTGGTGGACAGAGAGGGACATACCAGAGAAACATGGAGGATTTCTAAATTCTATGACTTATTCCAAGTATTGCTATCCTAACCCATCACTCTGAACAAAATTCTTCTTCCTTGCTTCAACATTACTTCACCAATCTTTCCAAGCATATAAATAGCACTGGCTTTCACTTGAGGTTTCTGGTGGGGGCCTTTGTCATGGGAATAGATAGGTTGTGTATTCCAAGTCTTAAAACTTAAGGGCCTCTGTGTGACTGAGTCAATGGGATAAGGGTGGGATGTATACTGATATCCTGTGATTTGTATATAACACTAGAACTCCCAAACTAGAATAAAAATCCTAGATCAATCAGTATGGAATTTTTCAGATTGACAAATCTGCATTTTAGTGTAATCCTCAGCATTGGGTAAGCCAAAAAAATTGTTCCACAAATTAAGTAGCACCTGGTGGTCAACTGGCTCCTAAGCAGTTCATAATGTGTTGGGACAACTGGACACCTTGAATGGAGGTGAGAAAATAGAGTATAGGACTCAGCTGAATGGAATATTAATTGAACTGGGACATAAAACAGATAATTAAAGCAAGTTTTATTATGCCATTATTTCAATTTGGTGTTTCTAGCTGTCTAGTCAGTAACCTGCAATGGAGGAGAAGCTCAGTCTTCCGTTTGCTATAGGTAGAGTCGCAGCCCTTAACCTGCCCTACAAGATACTGAATTTAGCAATTCTTAAGCTACACACTTTGGATACCCAGCTAGGAATTGTTTTCACCTATTTCAGTGTCAAGCCTTAAGTAAAAGCAGGTGGAAGATGAACTTACAGTTTAAATGGCTTTGCCTTCTAGAACCTGTATCCTTGCTCCCTGCTGTTACTTGGTGTTCCCTGCTGTTTCTCTTCTCTTGTATCATAACTATTCCCAGAAGAAGGCATGAGAGTCCTAATGTACATTAGGTGTTTAAATGTAAAAATTCTTAATATGGCTTAATACATCATCCTTCCTGGGACTACTTTTACTTAAATGACAGGTGAGCATCTTGGTGCTAAAGCAAGCAATCTGTGCGGGAAGCCAGTCATTGGAAAAAAGCCTTTTCAGGACCTCAAAAATAACACCAGGGGCCATAGGTCATTTGTAAGGCCAGGCCCACTGCAGTGTAACTGTCAACCACTACCTGCTTCTCCTCCAGAAAGAGTTACTTAGACAGGAAGAAGAGTCTCTGACACCCCAGTGAAGAAAGCAATGCCCCTATCCAAGTGTTTAGCAGCCTCCTGCGCACATACAATATGGTCAATCAACAGCACTGCAGTGACATCATTATTCCTAACACATCAAGATAGACATGCACAGGGTGTCAAGCATTGACAAGAGTTTTTTGTTGCTTTGTTCTGCTTGGGGAGAGGGTGATGGAAACAAAGTGAATCCTGGAATTGCTTGTCCAAAGGCAGCCCAAACAATCTAGTTATTCTGTCCCTGAAATGTGAACCAACTAAAAAGCAAAAACAAACCCCCGTTCTTAAATGAGATGTGCAGGTGACCAGCACTCTGCAGACAGTTCTCCCTTGGGCAACTCTGGATGACCATGGAAGACTGGGCGGGTGATATTCACCTAACTGTATAGACGACTCCTATTTTATCATATTACACATGCGTTTTGGCACTACTGACACCACCAACATTTAATGGAATCATTTGGGATTTTCCCCCAATCACTACATGGCTGTGGCCAGTACAGGGGAGCACACAGTAAGGTTTCCCAAGTTCTGGCTGAGGGTACACAGTGATAAATTTTGAAATAACAAGGTCCACTGTACATGCATCACTCTGAAGGGTGTGCACAATCTTGATTCAGGCAAATTCAAGGGTCAGATTGAGGTCAGTGGAAATGCTGAGACTTCAGCATTGCCACCAAAAGGAGTGATGTAGGACCACACCGAGCACCCCACTTCTACAACACAAGGGGATGATAGAGGGTATGAGAGAGGAAGCATGGATTCTGAAGAACATTGGAAGCTTGGATGCTCCTGAGGATATCTGCAGAATCTCACAGTTTTGGATAGGTTGGGCTTTGATCCACACCCATCTGTGATATAGACAGGGCTTACTACTGAATTCTTCCTTATGCATTTTACTGGCTTGTTATTCTATAATTAAGTAGCATCTAGAATTTGACAGTGCTCAGCCCATCCTTTCTTTTAGCTGTCTTGAACAGCCTGTGAATATCTTACTTGGTCTCAATTCAAGCATCTAGTTCAAGAAAAGTGACAAATTGGGGCCAAATAAGAGGTTTAGAAAAATGATCCATCTGACAGTTTCTGATAATGGGGGGATAGGGGAACAAATAACATAATATGATGGGGAAATGAATTTGCAAATTTCATCCTGTGGTAAAGAGAGGCTGCAACCCTTTACAAAACCAACGGTTCAGTGAAAGAAATTCTATTTGTCTGGTTAACCCAAGGTCAGGTTTCGAACACCTGGCACAAGGCAAATAGCACCTTCCTGATGGCAGTAATGAGGACAAGGCAAATAGAAAGCCTCCATTGGCACCATCCCTCATATACCCCACCTTCCTACCTCTAAAAGGAGCTTCAGCGACCTTTCTAATGGAGCCATCTAGCCACTGAATTTTGAGCATGTGGACTCTGGTCATCTTTTCTAGAAAAGTATGCAAATTAGTGAGACCCATACCCAGTGCTACTTCTCATGATGATGTCACATGCTTCAGAAAGCCCAGTTACGGGACACTTCTGGGTGTGCTTGCAGTACTGATTTCTAAGGGCAGTGAGGGGGTAGGCTGGGGCAAGGGGCAAGGCGCAGGGGTGAGGAAGAAGATCAGAGCAACCCAGATGGTTGTCAAACATCAGAGGAGACTGCCAGGCGAGTTCTCAGGGTTGAATATCCTGAAATCTCTCAGCCACACCAAGAAAGGGAGGCTAATTTGACCTCGATTCTATTTAAGCCCTTTAAAAATCTTGACTACTGTGGCTACTGACAGGAAAATGATGGCGTCACCAGCTCCTTTTTTATGGAATGCTGGAAAGCCATAGTCTACCTTGCAGCTCTGAGTTAGACCTGAGGTTTGCTTAAGAGCCACATCAGAGCCTGCGCAAAGTCCAGGCCGAAGCTCAGGAGCTCTTCCCATACAGGCTGACAAGAAGACTGGCTGGGGAGGGTCCGGGGGGAGGGGCTCTTCCACCACTGTGGCTTCTCTTCTCATTCACATCTTCTAGACACCCTGAAGCAAATGCCGTACAAAACACTTCCCCCAGTGGAAAATGAAAACCCAGTAACAAAACACTTGTCTTCCCCTTCACTCCCCACCCCACTCCCTCCAGCCCAACACCCTGAATACTGACAAGAGAACACTTTATCTATACAAAATTAATTAGAAAACAAAATATTTACATATGAAATAAACACCATCTTCATTTCTGTCACTGTGGAGCCTGACAGAGCCCCCATGGTTCTAGACTGCTGTTCGCTAGGTTAGTTGGTTTGGTGGTTTTACTTGAGAGGGGTGAGGTAAGAGGAAGAGGGAGGAGGGAATGAGCCCCTGGCCCTGGACAGAGCCTGGGAGAAGCAGTGCTGATCAGCCATTCGCCTCCTTCCTCCTGGGGTGGCCCCACACCCTCTGTCCTCTCTCTCAAGTCTTTTCTTTCCTTGAACCTAAGCAAAGCACTCCGTGTTCCTCCCGCCAAATCTGTGAGAGGTTCAGCCCCTTGCCCCCACGTTCGTTTAGAAAGAAAAACTTTACAAGGCCTTCAGGTGGCTTGGAAATGAAAGAGACTGAGGTACAAATCCAGGAAAAGGGTGGGGATGAGGAAGGACCAGGAGGCAGGGCAAACAGGAAGGCAAAGACCAGCCCTGGGGGGTGTGACTGGAGGAGACATGGCAGCTTCCGTCAGAGGAGGATGAGCACCTTTCTAGGTTGTGTGTCCTGTGTGCAACGTGGCGATCCTGCAGTCCAGCTTCCACAGTGACTCAGGGCTCTTTGGATGCCACCCCGCATAAGGGTAGGATGGCCAGACCCCTAGAACACCCTTACCCCAAGTTTCAGGACCGGCAGTGACAGATAATCATTTCCCTTCTTGATTTTCCAACTTTCAGCAAAGGGGGCATCGTGTCTGCCAGTACCCTCAATCCCTGGAGTTTTACACATTTGTTTTTCCTTTTTATTCTTGAATGGTACAATCTGGAATGGAAAGGAGGTATTGTAGGAGGGGGGAAGGGCTTCTACCAACAGTGTTCACACGGGGCTCAAGTCACACTCCCAGGAAGCTGGGTCCAATGGGAAAGTCGTTCCCCTCCTGGCCTCCCCCACTCATGACCCTCGTCCCCCTGCATCCTGAGCTGTCTGCGTGGAGGTGGGCTTTCTCTCTCAGCTGTCTGTTCCATTAGGGTTCCAATCAGTTCTGGGGGAACAAGACTGCTCTTCTAGCTCCAGGTTAAGTAAGAAGGGATCAAAGCATTGAAAACATCCCCCTCTCTCACTTACCCTACCCTGGACGACTCCCCTCTTCTTCCAAGCCTTTAAGTTCCACCCCATGCCTTGGCCAGTTGAGGGTCTAAAAGCCCAAAAGAGCCTTATGGAATCTTTTGCTCTCAAGAATCATGGCTGCATCTAGCTCCCTTTAGCTTTCCAGAAAGTTGTTGGTCCAGACTGGCTGAAATTGTTGGCAATCACTGAGGAATCGCCATAGGATTGTCTCACCACCTTTTTTGTCTAGCCCCTACCTTATCCTCATTCAGGAAAGGCGAAGGGGGGAGAGAGAGACAATATTCAGGTATCTTATGACCATCTCTGCTTGCACATAAGCCAAACCAAGCACGTTGCTGAGGGATATAGAAAGAAACAGCGTAATGTGTCAAGGTTGCCTTCTCTGCAAGTAGGGGCACCTGATTGCAACCACGTGCAGATGTCCACGGATACAGGCAACCGCAATCTACCTGTTTTGCTTCCAACACACTGCAGAGCACTATGATAGCATGCTCTTCAATTTGTTCAGGAATCTACTCCTCCACCAAGGGCCTTTTATTTTAACTCACCACTAATCAGTCTCATGGAGTGGAAGCAAATGTTGTTTTGGCTTATATACAAACATGTCCCACCTTCCCCCTTGGCACGTGATCTCTAGGCAGATATGATCTATGCAACCAGAATTTAGCAAAAGCCTCTGTTCACTCCCAAGCAGTTTGCTAAATGGCCTTCATTCGATGCATTTGCTTCCTCACCTAAGTGCAAAGATTCATTTGGGAAAGGCTACTCCAGAGTTCAGATGCCTCCTCTCCTTTCTCCTAGCTTCACTCAAAGTAGATGATGGCAGAGTTCTTCTATGCTAGGAGGAAGCTCCTGTGCAGTCCTTCCTCTCTCCTGTCTACCCTCCTACTTCATCCTCTCCTGGGAACAGGAACGGCTGACAGATGGGGAAGGTGGGGGAGAACTGCGAATGGGAAGAGAGATGGTGCTGGTCACCAGGGTTGCCCTCAGTAGGAACCAGAACTCCAGGATCCCATGAGTGAATTAAAACAACAATAAAGGAGCAAATGGGAACCAAGTTGACCCACACCCCTCCCCCTCCCATACCCACCTTCACCTCTCTCTTCCCCCACTCAGACATCAGACTCAATACTAGAAAGTTTCTCATAAACGTGCCCATTGCTGGAGCCATTGAAAGCCCTGGGGTTTTTGTTGTTAGGCACACAGGGGTTGGACTGGTTCCCTATACAGATGTCCTTCTGGAAACGGCCTGGCACAGCCCCATGGAGGGCCGAGACCACCGGCTTGTTGGTAACAAGGGCCCGGAAGTCTGGCCTGGCTTTCGACGCCCCCGCCACCGTGGGCTGCCTGAAGAAGTAGGATTTGCTGCCATGGAGCAAGCACTGGTCGTCCCCAAAAGTGGGGATGAAAGGGTTTTGCGTGACCCGGTCAGGGTAGAGAGACTTGCTGAGCATGTAGCCGCCTCCGGGGTTGTTGTGGTGGTGGTGTCCGGCGGCGGGCACTGAGGACTTGTTGTTGGCAAAGGTGCTCTCAGCAGCTGGCATCTCGAACATGTGGGCGTAGGGGCTCCCATCCAGGAATCGGCCCTTGTCTTTCAGGCTCACGCTGCGCGGGGCCAGGGCGGCTTCCTCCTTCTGCAGGTCCACGAAGGTGTCGTAGGAGTGCTGCCGGCGCAGTTTGTTCCGGTTCTTCTTCTGGGCCTTGGAATTAGTCGGGCTCTGAGGGTACTTGGTGGCAGAGGCATTGGATGGCACCGCCACAGGGGCAGCCGGCTGGTCCAGCTCCTGCAGGGAGTTGTCCTCGCTGATGTCGTACAGGTTGCCTGCTTTCTTGCAAGCCTCACACCGGATGCACGCCTGCCTGCCCGAGTTCTGACCTGCCACGGTCGTGGAGTAGTTGTGCAGCTTCGAGGGGCAGCTGCGGCAGAAGTTGCCCCCAGACCGGTCCTCCCAGTCTACATTGGTCAGGTTCTTCTCCCAGGGGGCTGGCACCCCGCCGACCCCACCGTGTTTCTCCCCGGTCCCGTGTTTGAGGTGCGCCCTGTTCGTACAGGGCCCTCCTCCGCTGACAGAGTCACGTTTGAAGTCATCGCTCCGCTCCTTGTAGATATCGGTCAGGTCCACATGCTCCCAGTGAGGTGAGTTCTCCTTTGTTCGGAACTGGTCCAGGTAGAAGTCTCGTAGCCCTTCCTTGTCCCTGAAGTAGCGCTTGTGGTCAGGGGAGCGGGGTGGTCGGCGGCGGTAGGCCAGCTCGATCTCATCGAACTCCCGCCGGGACTTAGCCGAGGCTGGTCGCTTCTTCAGGCTATCCTTATATTGCTGCTTACGCCTCTTGGCCGCGTTGCCCTCAATGTTTCCATAGGTGACCGTGTGGGTGGAGATGTCCGAGACGTCAGAGCGGATCAAATCGTCGTGGCCGCTGTAGCGGTCGCTCTTGAAGGAGAACTTGCCGTAGAGGTCGCTGAGCTGGCTGTGTTTGGAGGAGGGCAGGCCGATATCCAGGGGCTTCTTGCTGACGGACCTTGGCTGGGTGGTGAAGGGTGGGTTGTCACAGTCGTAGAGCCCGTCGATGGAGCTGGCACTGCCGATGCTGTGTGGTCGGTGATGGTGGTGGTAGTGATCTTGGTACACGTTGCTGTCTTTCAGCTGCAGGTTGCCAAACGTTCTCTCCACCTCACTGATGTAGTCGCTAAAGAGGTTCTCCTCGCAGGGCGGGTTGTTGTACGACTTGCAGTCAGAGTGTGTGAAGCTGCGCCGGTGCTCAGAGATGTCATAGACGGATGACTCGCGGCGGATGAAGTCCAGGGCGCTCTGTGGGGAGCCGTTCACACCAGACAGGTTCGCCATGTTCTTGGCTGTGCGGAGCAGGCGCAGGATGTTGGAGTGTGTGTTGTTCATGGTAGCGGTGGGGGAATTCATCACAGATTGGCGTTCCTCGATGGCCACCCCATGGATGCAGCTGTAGATTCCCTGGAGCAAGAGAAGTAGGAACAGGTCAGGTCTCCATGTGACCATCAAGAGCCCTCTCCCACCCTTGAATGCTAACTGGTTACGGACAGGTCAGGAAAAGAATGAAGCAGAGATCGTCGAATACATTCATAGAATGATGTGTCCTGAAGCTTGCCTGCTGCAGCTCCTTGAATATAGCAAGTTTTATATGGTGAGCTAAGATCAGTGATGTGGCCTTCAGAGACAGGGGCAAGGCCATACCTAGAGACTCCAGCAGACAGACTGGAGTGACAAGATATGGCATTTTGGCCTCAACTTCACCATGGACATACCTTGATTTTACTTTCTAGTCCTTAACTTTTGCATCTTAAAAATGAGGCCAAGATAAACCATAGCAAAAACTGTTATCAGCCTCCTGGCAATGAAGGGCAATATTCTATAGATGTGGATGCTATTCTGCCCTGGCTGTGGCCACTCTTGGCTGGCAGGAGCACACATGGGAGCTCAGTAGCTTACAATTGCCATTTCTTTTCAGCTCTGACAAATTTTGAGCAGCTTGTAGAATTGTGGTCACCAAATGACAGCTTTGGATCAAATCTCTTCTTGAGCCAAACATGAACTAAGTTCAAAGAGAGGGTGAGAAAGCTCTGTAGGCAAGGAAGGATTTCTCCCCTGTTGCGTCCTACACCCTAGGATAGAATTAGGACAAATCCAAAGTGCTAAATAGGAATAAGTAAGTCCCCTGAATTCCCTCATTTATTCCCTTTAGCTCTTATTTTCCTTCTTACACTTTCCCTCTCACATGACACTATCATACATAATTAATGTCTTAACAAATTAGTATTGATCAAGAACTAGGGCTTAAAGAATGCAGGAGAGGGGATGGATTGGGTTCCTGGAGGGCCCTCTACACTCACTTATAAAGTCAAGCCAACCTACTGCTCACTTCTTGCTTTGAGAGGTGGATATATTTGAAACTTTTCTCCCTGGCAAGTCAAGGTATTGAAGAGGACGTTGTTGAATTGTGTCTTTACAATAAGGGTGATTAATTTGCAAAGAGAAGTTGTCCCTATGGATGAAGATGGTAGAGGTTAGGGGACAGGTGAGGTTAGAAGGAGAATGGAACTACATGGGAAAGAAGAAAGGTTTAGATAAATGAGCCCACTGTCTCAGAAGGCATCAGCTAGAAATAAGATCTGCAAAGTAAGGTTACTTTTTTCTCAGTTTCCTTTTTAACCCTTTTTGACTGTGGCTAGGAGAAAATACCAGGTGTTTTTCTTCTTATAGAGGCATGGATTATGTCAAAGGGCTAGGAATGGGATTTCTATTATAGTTCATCAGCTCCAGCTGCTTCTGTCATCATGCTGTCTGCAATCAGGGGCAAGTGTCCCACAGTAGAACAACATGGTTCAGGGACTAAAACTGCCACAAGTTCCATTTTCCTATCCTGATGTTACTGAATGACCTGAATTAACGCATATCCAGAGAGAAAATGGAGAAATTGTTCTCTGAGTAAAATACTACAGGAAAGTGATCAAAGGATTGAAACAACCTAATGAGAACCCCACTTTCTTTTGTAATACCACTTAAGTCCAAGTTGGTCAAATCTTTAACATGGACTTCAACTCTAAAAGGACATTCAAGGTCATTTACCCACAAATGACTCTTATAACTTTATGAGCAAAATCCAAAGACGCAAATTAAAAAAAAAAAAAAAAGAAACTAAAAAACTCCCTGTGACTTTCTGTTCACATATAAAACTATGTTCCTAATGCCTCACTTTGGACTAGAAATTAGAGAATGACCTAGGAGTTATATTCTTGCTCCAATTAAGGAAGTTTCTGGAATACAAAGTTCTTATGACTCAGGACTGATTTATGAAGGTTATATTAAGCTTTTTAACTGCCCCTATCTGACATGCGTTTAAAATTTAGAGTGGAACACTGAAACTACTACTAATCTAACTTTGTTTATTAGAGTAAGAGAAGCATGTTACATTTCACTCAATAGAATTGTGATTCTTTTAAAGGATTGAATGATTAATGCAGTCTATAAAGAATCAACTAATGATGATGAAGGGCATTTGGTAAAAATCCAAGTTTTCCATTTTGATCTGTTAGTTCTTATTGAGAATCAAGTGCCCAAACCCCACACAAAACTATCGGTATCTTCAAAGAAATATTTCAAGTGGCTTAAAGGAAGGTGATACTTTATCACAAAACCTGCTGGGGGAAATGTACATGATGTGGTTTCCTGCTTTAGCCACATACGTCTGGAGTTAGTGCTCTCTTGGGTCTTTCTGCTTTGCACAGGGCTAGGTTAAGCTGTCCTTAACAAGCTGCAGGCATCTAAATCAAAGCACTTACTCTGCTGATGGAGAAGACCATGCCAGGCTTGCCAGAGCAGACACCCATAAAGCAATGCCGGAACTGCCAATAGAAAAGGTGTTCGCAGATGAAGGTGATAAGGCTGAGAGCCATGGCTGCCCCCAACATGTAGAAAACACCCGCCATGTTGTCAATGTCCAGCTGGCTGCTCATGACTTCATTCTTTTCATTGTGGCAAATGCCAGTGAGCCAGAGAGCTTCCAGTTCCTCCATCTCCCCTAGAGACAGGACAGAGAAGGAAAACAGATAAAGACAGAAAAGAGAATACAGAAAAGGAAGAGAGAAGAGTGTTCAGGGAGATAGAGGGAAAACAAGCACAACAAGGAGACACAAAGAAAATGAATAAAGTTAACAGTGGTTATATTAATACTACTTAAATCCATCAATATATTCAACAAATAGTCAATAAAAACTTAATGTGAGTCATACTGCTGCTGCCCTCTGCTCTATCCAGTATAAATTGTTATATATATGATCAATATGGCAAGGTATTGACGCTCAGTTAATCTGAATCTTTTGTTACCTGTATAGCCATTTTGTGGATGGACTGGCTAGTAGATTTTCATGGGGTGGGGGTTAGGATTTGAAGGTGGGGAATGATAGATGAGTGAATTTCAATCTGTATCATACACAAACTCCAGGTAGCAGGGTACACATGAACAATGAGAGAGGAGTGGGGAAACACAATGTGATCTAGGGAAAGGCATGAAGAACAACAGTTCAAACCGAATGATAATAGTCCAAAACAAGCTAAATAGACAGACACGGGAGAGTTTTAAACAGGTGAATTTTAAAATTGTGCCAAGCAGATTGGACGGAAAGAGGAAAAACAGGCAGAGAGGAGTAAGTTTGGGTAAAAGAAGGCAGCAGATTCAGATGGGCCTCCTTTCAATTTTGCATAACTACATCCTGGTTAGTTCAATGCATGATGGGTTTCAAAGAGACCCTATGCACTTGACTGGATATTAAATATCAGAAAGGTATAAACCTTAGCCAAAAGGAAAATGAAAGAGGCTGTGTGCTATAGAATGCATCTAATCCTGAACAAAAAAAAATTAGAAAAATCTCTGGAAGAAAATTGCCAGAAGTCGTAGTCTAGTGTATTTGAAAACTTGAAGTTTGTTTTTATAATCCAATTAATGCTCCAGTTCCTCATAGAAACAGGTTCCATTACTGCCCATAAGTAGTATACACTTAAATTACAGACACTGTTATATCAAAATAACTTATTAATATTTTTGATATAACCCCCCTTGTCCAGTGTTAAACCACTTTTTACTCATTTCTTTGATCAAACTATGATTTTTCCTAACTAGTGGATCAGTCAACTTCATCCTGCAGTCCAAAAAAAAAATCTATTTGTGGTCTCCAGTCTCTGATCTCACCCCTAACAGCAAACATTATGCAGATATAATTTAGAGACCACTGGGTTGATAGGGCTATGGAGCCAAGCCGAATCAAACAGCTCATCTGTAACTGAATTAGTCTCAGTGAGGCCATCAGGCAGAGTGGATACTTTGGACCATAAAGTGGAGCGGGATGCAGAAGACAGAAAGATAATGAAGTAGGAGAGGTTTTCTCAAAGCAACGTTGGGGGTTCAACCTGCTGCCAGAATGACCCTGGGGAGTCCCTTATGGTTTCTGTCTCTGAGGACTCTGGGCTGGAAGAAATAGGAGGCAGAGATAAAGAGCAAGATGGGATACAGCAAAGGATGAATAGATGCCTACAAGGAAATTTCCTTGCTCTTTGGGTGCATACAGAGCAGAGACCTGCTAAAGCTTCTTCTACTTTGTTTTGGCCACATATGAGATAACTGTTTGGAATATGTAATACCAGCCTCCTCATCTTGATTCCCCAAGGTTAACCATACTCTTCAATCCTAAAACATACCTCTTGTCCAACTAATTTCATCTTCTCCCCCATCTTTCACCCTATTAGTTGTGTCACCCCAAAATTCATACGGTCAAACCCTAACCCCCAGTACTTCAAGATATGGCTTTATTTGAATAGGTTACCACGTATATAATGAGTTAAGCTAAGGACACACTGGAGTAAGGTGAGCTCCCCAGACAAGGTAATTGGTAATTTTAAGAAAAAGAGAAACTTAGATACAGATACATATGAAAGTCCTTCAAAAAGTTCATAGAAAAATCTATCATAAACAAAAACTATGCATCCATTTCAAACTTTTTGCAATAAAATAAACTTTTTGAAATCCTTATAAAGAGGTAAACAAACACACACACAGGCAAAATGCCATGCAAACAGGAAAGCAGAAATCAGGGTGATGCTTCCACAAACAAGCTAAGCAATGCTAAACACCAGAAGTGGGTAGGGGAGTGGGGGGGGGATAAAAAAAAAAACAGCCAGATTCTCTCTCATGGCCCCAGAAGGACCACCCTAGTAACACTGAATTTCAGACTTCCAGCCTCTAGAACTGTGAGATGATAAACTTTTGTTGCTCAGTTCACTCAGTTTGTGATACTTTGTTGTAGTAGCCCTAAGAAACTGAAATACATTTCTTAAGGATTTGAAAACTATTTAGTTTCTGACCCCTAAGTCATAAATTAGTGATACAAAGAGGACGAAAACTTAATCCAATGGTCTTTAGAGATGGGGCCTTAGCAATGTAATTAACATTAGACTGGGTCTAAATTAGAATGAGGCCTCTGTGATCTAAACATGGTATTTTCAAAGGAGGAAGAGAGGAGCCACGGACTGAGATGGATGGATACACATGCTCCCTGCCTCTTGCTGTTGTGATGTCCAGAGATACGCTGGGACTCTGCCAGCATGAAGGCCATCACTACCAGTGAACTAATGCAGTCCATCCAATCTTGGACTGTGTACCTTCAGAACCATAAACCAGAAGAAACCTTTCATACAATTAAGTTAGCTTGCCTCAGGTATTTCCCTATAGCAATGAGACGCTGACTACTATAGTACCTTAACATCTCAGACTGTGAAGTGTTTCTTTGCAACACTTGAATTAGCCAAATGGAAATGGAAGAAAGATTAATGTTCTGGACTGGCCATCAGGAGAGGCCAAAGGAGCACTTCCCCTTTCCTTAACTCACCGTCTCCAAAGAGCTGCAGGATAGCAAGGTCCACTTGGCGCTTCCACCCAGAATCTTTCTGTATGGCAATGCCATACCCTGTGGAAGCAAAGACCTTCCCACTTCCAATCGTCACCAGCTTGCAGCCTTCATCTCTGCCTGCCATGTAGTTCAGCACTGCTGCATCATAGATGAAGGCATCCAGTTTCCTATGCAAAACAGAAGCAAACAAAACCATCTATGGGACCATGAATGTGAATCAATAGGATTCCAGCAAACTACATGGAGATTTTGTTCAGAGTAAGGCTACAGTTGGAACTCTGCCAGAATCCAAAGCCCACATCCCAGGCTGTTCTTTATGTGATTTCAGTTTGAAAGGAGGAGTTCTTTCCCTCCCACTGGGAATGTAAGTTGGGCTTGAAGCCAACTAATAAGCTGTGTCTGAAAAGGAGAAGGAGTAAAAGGGAATCAATAAAAATAATAACAGAAATAATGAAAAGTAAGCACTGCAATGATAACAAATAGCATGGGCAAGATTTATATAACATTTTTCATTTCTCAGTCCATTACAGTTCAGAGTGGGGATAAGTGTAGGTGTGTGTGTTCCAATAGATGTGCACTGCTATTTTTATGGTCAGAATGGCTCCAATATTTACTTGTGCAGCACAGGGTAGAGGTGAGTAGTTGGGGTGGTGGCAGCACAGGCTTGTTTAAGAGCCACTGTGAGTGATATCTAGAACTCAGGTCTCAAGTTTCTACACATCTAAGAACCTCATTTTATGTATTGTGCTTGGCAATGAAGGAATACATAGGAAGGAGACTACAACTCAGGGTAAAAGCATTAAGGTTAATACTTAAAACCAGTATTTAAATACAGCCACAGTCCAGGAAGCAATTCAGAGTAAACCATTCAGGTCATAGAGAGGTTTGTAAGGAGGAAAAGCATGTATCACCTTCACTTTTGCAATCGATGTAGCTTTGTCCCTTTTTGAGAAGAAACCAGCCCTTTCTGGCATGATATTATACAGAGCATTTTATAAAAGGTATTTTTCAGAAAGGTGGCACATCGTCAAACCAAAATTCTCAAATGACTGAGACCTTTAGTCAAACTACCTAAAGCAGCCCTTCTCCAAACTCAAATCTCATCTTCTAAACTCTGTTTTTGACCTTATTTTTGGTGATAAGATAGGATCTCAAAGTATTTTAAGCAATTACGTATCCATCTGGCTCTTCTTCAGGGGCATGCCGAGGAGGTCCAAATGCCACTAATCGTCAAACAACACAAGAAATCAGCTCCATGACCCCTTGCTCCCCAGATCCCAACATCTGTAATGCTCAATTGTCTACTGTTTTCTGCAGTTTTGTCTCCTGGAGGCAAAAAGAACAGTTTGGCTGGGACTATGCAGGCCCACACCTTCGTAGTTCATGAACTCCTTTCGGCCCTAGAGTACCCACAGCTGGATCACTAAGAATGAACAGAACCTAGGCGTGGAGATCAGCCAACATACTCCTACATTTTGTTATCTAAGAACATTTATGCTTTCATTCTTTTATCTTCTCTCTTGTCCATCAAGACATGGGGAGCATCATTTTCACTTCTTAGATAACATGTCTTTATCTGATGTGTACCACATGAGCCTTATCCTTGGTTCTTTACATCTCTTTCATTCTTGTTTCATGGTTACATTAATCCAAGGTGAAAAATCTTGTAAAAAATTATATAGAAGTCAATACTAGTACAGGAATCTTTATCCATTGATTTGAGTTCTGTCCAACTGGGGTCTGTAGAGAGCGAATGTTGTCTTCTTTGACTACACATTGTATGGTACCTTGGCACATCAGATTTAATATACACTTAATAGATATCAAGAACTCTGAGCTCAGAAGCAGTTCTTACCCTGTTTTCAGGGAGAGCAAGGCATCATCCACACCCCTCTGGTTGAACTTTCCCATGTAGGCATGCATTTCTGCATAGTTATTGCGAATATTCCTCTCTGTGCTGCCATTGGGCACTGTCCCAAAGCGGAAAGGGGGTGAGAAGTCATTAGGTCTCTGGAACTGTAGAGAGAGAGAGAAGGAAAGCCATGCTTTTGAAAATGTGAATATACATTAAATTAGCATTAGTGGATTTATAATAGAAGAGACCCAACCATAGTTCATCTGTATAGTTATATACACACATGTACACACATACATATATGCAATTCACTAGCCCTCACAGAGAATGACATTTTCTGAGGGTGGACTCCCATTCAAAGACCTACTGCTCAGAGATTGCTATTTGTATACTCCTAAATCTAATCTATATACCTCATAAGTTCCTTTTAAGTATATGATATACCAATGATGATGAGCCAAAATGGACTGTGCCATTGGTCTAACTGTGGTGAACTAGTCACTTTTATTTCTCAAAAGCATTTTAAATCCGTATCCAAGACTGAATTTAGGGGTCAAAATACATTGGCATTGCACTATCTTTTTGCTATTTTAAATTATTTGTTTGAAAGGCAGAGAGACAGGGAAAGAAAGTCAGATAAAGGTCTCCCATTCACTGGTTCACTCTCCATATGACCGAAACAGCTGGGTCTGGGACAGGTCAAAGCTGGGAACTCAAAGCTGAGAGGACTCAAGTACTTGAGCCATCACTTGTCACCTCCCAGGGTACACATTAGCAGGAAGCTGGAATCAGAAGGCAGAGCTATGACTTGAACCCAGATACTCTGAAATGGGATGTAGGTGTTTCAGGTGACATCTTGACCATGATGCCACATGTCTATCCCTGTCATTGCACTGCTACAACCACAGTACCTTAGTGAGGTGAGTTGCATTCTTAATAATTTATTACCAAATGTTTTGCTAACAAATTTTCTGTTGACCTTCCTTGAGCATTTCAAGCTCATATTTAGCCTATGTGAGTTGCAGGATAAACTCCAAAATCAAATACAATTTTAATTATATTCCTTTCCTTGCTTAAGAACTGAAAGTTATCTCTAGTTCCTACCATAAAAAAAGTGAAATCTCTTGAATCTTCATCCCTAGGACACCAGCTTTATTTCTGGTTATTACCCTGCAATGAATAAGCCTTTGTGTTGCTTCTTGAACTCCTAATTTGTTCTTTTGTATCTTCATGGTCTCAAATAGTCCATCTTCTCAGCACAAACTCATCTTTCTGTATGGGCCAATTCATGTCCTTCATTTCAAAATAAAACTCATACCAATTTCGTGAAGATACCTTCTGTGAACTCTTCTATTGAGTCTACTGAAAAGTAACCCATCAGTACTTGGTATTCTCGGTTTAGATCACTTTAATTCACACTACAAATTCAATTACTCTCTAAATGCACTGCCTAAGTTATGAAAGCCACTTTCTGATGTAGTCATTGAAGAGTTGAAGCTCTAAATTCAGACACATGGACTGACGACCAGCTCTGCCAGTAATACTGTGTGACCTTGGGCAAGTAACATACGCTGTGTGCATCATTTCCTTCTGAAAAGGAGACAAGAGTGCCTCGTTTTTCATCTTGTTATGAGGATTAAATGATACAATATATGAGAAGTTCTTGACACAGCACTGGCATACAATAAGTGCTCAGTAAGTGTCTTATTACACAATTTTAAATTCATGTCTGTGTTCCAAATTTCCTAGTCAACCTCAGGCTCTCTAAGTTTCTCATTCTATTCTATAACAATGATCATGTAGAAACATGACCAGAGTAGCTCTAGTGAGACTTGGCATAGGAAAGAGATGTTTAAAGTTCTCTGGATTTCAATACCATATTGCGATAGTAAACCTGACATACCACATCTGGAGAACTAGAATTGCCTGGGTTTCAAAGTCATTCTTTTTATGGGGGGTTTCAGGAATCACACATGCCATCTTAGTCACTCAGGGTCAGTCACAACTTAAAGAGTCATGCGGTGCCATGTAACCAGCTGTGATGTTTCAAAAGACTACTCCCTGATGACAGTTTGGAGCTGTGGTGAGACAAAGCCAGCCCCCAAAAACAATTATCATGTTTCCTCTGATTTGTGGTAACTAATATATACGGCACAAAAAAGTAATGGATAGGAGCGAAATTGACATCTTGATATTTGATTATTGTTTATAGCCCTTATCTATACTTCTGAGGAACAGAGGTTGTTTGACTTACAACTTGAACTTTTTATTTAGTGGAGGAGTAAGCTTGTGATTATAAAGTGAATTGAAAGTATGTCATTGCAAAAATTAAAAAGAAGAGGGAGAAAGTATCATTATGTTCTTTAAAACTTAATATATGGGGGACAGTGCTGTGGCATAGTGGGTAAAGCTGCCACCTGCAGTACTGGAATCTCATGGGTGGGGTTCGAGTCTCAGCTGTGGCCTGAGAAAGCAGTGGAAGATGGCCCAAGTCCTTGGGCCCCTGCACCCATTTGGGAGACCTGGAGGAAGCTTCTGGCTTGGCTCCGCTCCAGGCATTGTGGCCATTTAGGGAGTGAACCAGCAGATGGAAGACCGTTCTGTCTGCCTTTAAATAAATAAATGATTACATATAGGGAGCAGATTTCATGCATTTCATATAAATAAATAAAAACACTTAAAAAGAGTTTTGCCTGATTATCTTTAAGGCGGTGGTGACTTTTGCATTGCATGGGTTGCGAAAGGGTCACTCATCCAAACCATTTGTTTAACAAATCATGAACTGAGGCACAAGCATCGCAAGTAATTTGAGATCACCTAGTGGCAGGGATAGCTAACACTGCCAAGACTCAATGGGCCTAATGAGGAGTTACCTCTTCTTTTCCCCAGCAGACAGCAACCTAAAGTAGACAGGTACCAGAATATGAATATCATTGTCAAATAAAACACTTCAGATGTTTGAAGAAAGGTATCTTCCAAATCAAAACTAGATACTATGGGTGGCAGCAATACAGCCAAATCAACTCCTAGCAATCCTCACTTTGCTAGACAAAGTAATTTAACCAGTAATTTTTCACTTTGTAGGCAATGGCAGTTGACATTCATGATAACAAAGGTACTCTAGGGCTCAAAGTATTTTCTGAAACATCAAAAAGCTATAATCATGTCCAATACAATTCTGGTGGAGTTATACTTGAATATTTTTGAAAACTGGTAATCCACACCAGGCATATGCAATAGTTCCTGATTACCAAATGGAACCCAAAGCCCAGAAGTCTCACTTCCTGATGACGTAACACTACAGAAAGTCCCTATACTGTTCCAGGTAATTTTAAAGTTATCTTTACATTTCTACATGCTGTTTTATAATTGTATCCCTACAAGATAAAACCCAAAGAAATAATAAAAGATCTACAACAGCCAAGATAATTTTAAAAAATAAAACTGAAGTATTTATACTGTGTGACTTTGATTTATAATAAAACTACAATTATGAGTGTGTGGTATTAGCATAAATAGAAAAGGATATCACTGGAACAGAACAGAGTGTCCATTTAACAGACCCACTCATATTTGGTGATTCAGTGGAAAGAATAATCTTCAAACAGTATTGGAACAATTAGCAAAACAGAACTTTATTCTTTCATTATGTGAAAAAAAAAGTTATTCTACACCTTACAAGATATACAGTAATTAATTCAAAGTGGGTCATATGCCTAGATGTAAATCCTATAATTATAATAAAACCTCTAAGGAAAATTTAGGGTAAAGACAAAGATTTCTTAGATGTAATCCCAAAATCATGATCCACCAAATAAATTGGATTTCATCAAAATTAAGACTTTCTCTTTGAAAGATGCAGTTAAGGCTATGAAAAGACAAGTCACCAAGTAGAAGAAAATATTTGAATTAAAGCTATAAAAAACTAAAAGAATTTAATGATAATGGGTCAAGACTGACTTAAAGTGTCTTCCACATGAAAATAATCAACACCACCCACCCGTCAGTAATGTGCAGAAGGCCCAGTCCCATGAAAAGTGTTGGTTTTAGAGGAAGACAATTGGATTTGACTCCAGGTCCCTGGCCAATGTGTGAGGGCAAGGTACTCAAACTTAACAATGCCCCATGCTTGGGGGAGTATTATTTTAATGAGCAAGAGAATAGGTAGGGAAACACCACAGTATTTGACACAGGGTTGATTCTCAGCATTGTTACCTGATACTGTGGGCATGCAGTTCTAATATCCAAAACTGTCCTTTGTAAAGCAATGTTCTTTCACACTGAAAAATCCTTATTTTCTGATTTGTTCCTTAAACTAGGCCAGTCTGGGAGCCAACAGGGAGAGATCATTGCCCCAGAATTAGCCAAAGCAGAAGTGAGTTTGCATTCTCTTTAATAAAACACAGGTTTTTAAAAACTGTAACTGGGCCTTGAACTTCACTAACATTCATATCCATGGAGAACTGTATGTTTAGGGAAGCCCATGGGGAAGAAGGAAAAAGTAATCTTCCAAATATCTTAGTGCTTCCAATAAATGCCTTTGTAATAAAACTTACACCCAGCTGTAATGCACACTGTGGCATTTATTTAACCTGTGTGGCAATCAATGCTCTCTGGGGTTTTTGTGAAGGAGTAAAATTTAGCAACTATCAAGAACCAGAATGTCTTCAAATCCATAGAAAAAGGAGGACCCTGAAAACAATTTTTTGCAAAAAAAAAAAAAAAAAAAAAAAAAGTAAAAGCTGAATATACCATGGAAACAAGCAACTGATTTAAAACCTCAGTCTGGCTTTACAGTAGGGAATTCTATACAGTACTTCTTATTCATCACCTTTGGCCATCATAAGTTTTTCTTGAACATGAAATCTTTTTCTAGGAGCCCCCCAGATTGGGATTATCAAACACAGATTTTGGTAGTGGGAAAAATAAAACACACACAAAAGGGAGGGAATCTTCGGGATCAGTCCAATTTCATGATTGAAGAAACTGAAGCTCTGAAGAGGCCAATCAAGTTGTTCAAGGCCACATGGTGGACTAGGAGACTTGGCCCTGAGGTACTAAGCAAAAATGGTTGCTAGCTCAAGTGCCAGTAGAATAATCCTGCTCCTCCCTCTGGGGGAGTGAAGCCATCCACTGTGAGTGGGGCCATTTGGTGAGGGGA